ATGTTAATTCAAAGGTATCAAGATTTTCCATACTTTTATAAAAAATGCACATCTGGATAGGTCACCGGGGTCAACACAACGTGGGTGGTCACTACGTGGGGGAGGGGGAAAGGTCACAAAGGTCAAAGCCATCAATCAAGTTGACATTAGGTGCATCATATCACTACTTACATGTATATATTTATATGCAATTTATATATACACACACACACACACACACACACACACACACACACACAATTAAATAATTATTCATGATGAATATCTGATTAATTATTGTACATACTGTAAATTATGCAGTACATTCCCAAAATGTATTAACATAAAATTTTATATAATAATGCATAAACTCTTAGAAACAAAAATATACATGCATACACACACATATATATATATACATTTGGGGTAAGTCTTTTTTTTATTTATTTTTTTTAAGAAATGTATCTTTATTTAGCAAGAATGCATTAAATTGATAAAAAAGTGACAGTAAATAATTTAAGTTGTCCTTTCATACTTTTTATTCATCAAAAAATTCTGAAAATAAAAATGATCATGTTTTTCCACAGTAATATTAAGCAGCACAACATTGATAATAATAAGAAATGTTTATTGAGCACCAAATCAGTATATTAAAAAGATTTCCGAAGGATCATGTGGAGTAATGGCTGCTGAAAATTTAGCTTTGACGTTACAGGAATAAATTATATTTTAAAACATATTAAAAATGGAAAACTTTTAAATTTTAAATAATATTTTACACTAATACTGTTTTTTTTCTACTGTATTTGAGATCCAATAAACCTTTACAACCCCACATTTTTGAATGCTAGTGCAAATACGTCAACGCAAACACTCTTCCCACATCTAAACTGCCAGATCTGTATTACCTGTGAGAGTTAGAAGCCAGCAGCACAACAGGACCCCAAGCAGAGCCTTCATTTTAAGTACAATCTGTATATCCACAGTTTGGCACCAGCCGTCACCACTGGCACCACGTACAAACACACCTTAACAAGCTCTCACATGCACTCACACTAACTCGCATATCCCACAGACTCTGTCCTCTCTCTAACCAACAGCCCAGTGTGATTGTGCCAAACCTTCCCTACTGAACCCTGACATGGTCAACTCATCACTTTTCTCCTCCCTGCAACCGGACTTTTGAAAAGCAGGTCTGTGATTGGTTGGGAGGAAAGAGAATTATGGGAGGGAGAAAGGAATGCGTGGACTCTGTGGCAGCCCTGGCAGGCACCTGTTGATGGTTTGTGTAAGTGTGTGTGTGTGTGTGTGTGTGCATACTTTTGTGAGAGAACAAAGGGTAGAGGTGGGCACGACTGTTCCTTTCTGGAGGGTGAGAAAGGACAGGAGTGAACATACTCACATACACACACAATCACACTGCTCACATACTTGTGTGGGGACTTCCCTTTCCTAGTTGTTCTTAATATAACCCAATTATAATTACTAAAGACCAACTCGAAATGCTAATTTTGCCATTATTAGATATGAATTCAAGTGTTTAGGACTTTTTTGCCTTGTGGTATTCATCTGATGCATCTGAATTGGCTTAGTGCCATTCATCTGAGGACATTGTCGGTAATGGTGTCCCCATACACACGCGCATGCAACAAAATGGCCAACATGAAGGCATGAAGATTTCACCCTCTCAACATACCCGTCTCTCTGTCTCTGTTCAATTTGTTCTGTCTGTCATGTGGTAAAGGCATTTGCTATTGCTGCAAGGCGACAGCAGATATACAATCTCTCAAATAAACACACACATACATACACACACACACACACACTCTTAGCATCTCACGTTCTAGCTCAGAAATATCAACCATGACAACTGAATATTACTTGCTGACAGTAAGCACAAACAGGCTGTAAATAAGCTTCAGACAAGCGCAATACAAGCCCCACAAAACTGGTCTTCTCTGGTCAATATCCCACTCAAAACATCCCCAATCACAAAGTTAGTGGGCAGAGTAACTACTGTGCTAGCTGAGTTTATTCAGCTTGTTCACTGTGTAATTTATACACAGTTAGTCTTAAAGTGGGTTGATAAATCTCAAGGTTGTTACTTAGATACTTTTGTAAATCTTTTAAGCCTTATGTACAGTAAGTCATTCTGAATCTTCTGAAATCTCTTTTGTGAAAGGCACAGTTCACATTAGGCAATTGTCAACAGCAAACTCAAAGTGTTTTTATTCTTAAGGGCAGGGTGGCTTTGCCCACTGATCAGACTTCAGGTTGGATAGTTTCTAATTCCAGTTTCTAATTCTAATTCCAGTAATAAGCCATGCCTCTCTGTTGTGAGATAAAGAAAAGATAGCATTTTCAGACAAATATACACAACAAATGAAAGTAAATATGTTTTCCTGCATCTATTCAATTGTTCTCTCTGATAGAGTCTATATAGGCAAGAGGACAGTAGTGTCCCGTGAAGATATCTGGAGTAATGAGAGGAAAGTGCAGCAGGTAAGCTGGTCTCTCAAAAGTGACCCCAATATGTATCTGATTTCCACCTGCCTCTCTCACTCTCCAAACCACCAGGTGCCTTTGCACTGTGTTCACTCAAATTATGTTGATCATATCATTGGTAATTAAAATGGTGTATCAAATTAGCAAATAATATATACAAGCATATACTAGTTACAATAGTGATATATTGGGCCACACTGTATCTACATACACAGATAAGCACACGGTAGAAGACATTCATATACAGCATGCAAAAGGCGTAATCTCTGACAAAAAAGCAGATTTTCAGAACACATTCTTTACTCTTTATTCAGCACATAGAAGTTTCCTTAAAAAATAGTCAATAGATAACGACTAGAATAGCCTACACACATTTAAGAGCACACATCACACTGCAGGATCAGAACAATTCCTTACACATAATTCATAAATGCAAATACACTACCATTCAAAAGTTTGGGTTTTTGAAAAAAGTCACTTATACTCACCAAGGCTACATTTATTTGATTAAAAATGCAGCGCAAACAGTAATATTGAGAAGTATCATTATAATTAAAATTACGGTTTTCTATTTTAATTTAAAACCGTGATACCCTTTTTCAGGATTCTTTGATTAGTTTCTTTCAAAAAAAAAAAAAAAAAAAACTAATGATCCCAATCTTTTGAATGGTGGTGTAAATCTGAGCAGGTGAGCCAAACTGAGTTAATTTATAAAACAATAATGCATATGAGCAAAAATTGATTTAATTGGCACATTAAATAAAGACAGTATGGGATATATTACAGTCATTTTCATTTTTGTGTGAACTATCCCTTTAAGTGATGTGTCCATACACACAGCAATCTCGTAGGCAAAAAAACATCCCAAGTCCATTTCCATTCCTTATATGGCAAACGGATTTATTAAAACTCAATCACTAATGAGTAAAACACAAAGTTAACGAGAAAGCCACTGTTGGACTGCTAATGGAAACATTTCCTTCTTTAAAAAAGGAACTGTATAATTTCAACATCGCAAAAGCAAATTTCAGCAAATTAAAAATGTATTATAATAACAAATCCCACTCAACTCTGTGATAGTAAAGCTGCTTTTATCCATCTATCCATTGCATTAACAGCAGAAATATTGTGTGAATGAATTGCTGTGCTCTTCGTGTTGCAGTAAAAGACCATAGTTGTGCATTAAATACGCAGCAGTGTCTAACACATCTCATGCCAGTGTTTTTTAGGTGAAAAGTTCAGGGCTAGAGAGAACATCCATCAGATTTAGGGAAAGGGGTCAGTAGGTGTGGCATTGAAGCTGGCATCAGCAAAAATGCCCAGTGTCCCAAGGGAGGTAAAAATCACAAAGATCCAGAGGAAGAGTCGATCAACCACCATTGCAACATACTGCCAGTCCTCCTTTAACTGAGGCAGATAGGAAGAGGAAAAGATAGTAGAGAAAGAAAAAAAAAGGGAAAATGAAAAGATGAATACGCGCTCTGGCGTAGTTTACGCAAGCGCCGGAAGTGATCTCTCGCACATATACGTCACTCATTGTTTACACAGTGCACAGTCATTGTAGGTACGACGGCTAATCAAAATGGTACTTGTGCTTATCCGTATTGTTCAAACCGACTTAAGAGAGAGGAAGAGTCGATCAACCACCATTGCAACATACTGCCAGTCCTCCTTTGAGGAAGATAGGAAGAGGAAAAGATAGTAGAGAAAGAAAAAAAAAGGGAAAATGAAAAGATGAAACTGATGGCAAACAGTGAAAACTAGGGAAAATAAAGATTTACAGAGCTCTGACACACAGACAGAAGCAGGAAAAGTAACCTATAATTCTGGCACATTGGCTATTGTTATCTTTATAAATCACTTACAGCCTCGTAATCTTTTTCTGCCTGCAGCTGCTCTGCGATGTAAGTGATGGCCTCCACAGCTGCCTTGAGATCTGGAGGAAGGGTGAGGTAATGACTGGGGCCGTCAATGAACTTCCTCAGGTCTGTGCACGGACCATTAGGCTGATACCTGCACCACAGGGAATGGAGGAGGAATATCACTCTACATTACAACACCTTTATTAAATTCAGAACATGCTTGGCATTATTTTGTATGTATACTGCCCAGAAACATTCTCTATATAAACATGCAAATGCTTATGAGAATGCTTAGCCAATGCATTGCAAGCTTAAAGGGATAGTTCACCCAAAAATGAAAATTTGATGTTTATCTGCTTACCCCCAAGGCATCCAAGATGTAGGTGACTTTGTTTCTTCAGTAGAACACAAATTATGATTTTTAAGTCCAGCCGTTGCAGTCTATCAGTCGTATAATGCATGGCAATGGTAACAAAATCTATGAGAGTAAAAAAACATGCACAGACAAATCCAAATTAAACCCTGCGGCTCGTGACGACACATTGATGTCCTAAGACACGAAACGATCGGTTTGTGCGAGAAACCGAACAGTATTTATATCATATTTTTACCTCCAATACACCACTATGTCCAACTTCCTTGAGCGCTCGCACGGCATCCGGTGCGTGAGGTGTGTACGCGCTCTGGCGTAGTTTACGCAAGCGCCGGAAGTGATCTCTCGCGCGTATACGTCA